ATACACCACGACTTTCGACTCACTTACATTCATTGCACTCTTGTTAGATAAGCTTAGATCAAATTAATGATTTATACAAACAAAAGCAATCTAGTTTTCAATTTAAAAACCAAATCAAATTATGGTTCTGGTTATCCAATCCAAGAAGAAAACACATTTGCACTCATGCATCCCTCATTTAATTTGCGGACACCTATACGTCCTCTGATCAGAGACAATATTGACTTTAATCAAAATCAGAGAACCCCATAATTATTCAAGGACTTACTTGGCAAGTTGGCATGGATTTTGATTTGGACTAGTGAGATTCCGTTGGCAATTGATGTAATACTATTTGCTAGCTAACCTCAGCCACCAACCTTTTTGTCTTCTTGTTCATCTTATCATTAATGTACCATCACTTAGATTCTCCGTAATCATAATCCACTAATGCTACTTGTTTCAAATATTAATTGGTTGATTATGGATAATCTATGAAACCGATAAAAACACCATAGCTCCAAAATTATACTATTTTATTATTCAATATTTTGTTGATAAAAAATTATGTCATTAAGATAAGAAAATGAAAACTATATTATAGTCATTATTTAAGTGATCATTAAATTAAATTACTCCATTGATTATCACATTACATGCAATTTAGAACACGAATAAACACATACAAATTATCAATATTAAATTAAATAGCACTCGATTAAACAAAAGCTTACGTCAGCTTGTAAATTATTCGTAGAGATCAGGGCCGGCTCAAACTCATCTTGGGCCCTGTGCCATGTATTAAAATTGGCATTTAGTTAGTAGTAGTATTATTTTTTTTTTAAAGATAGTGGTAAAAATCTGTAACATAGCATTGATCAGTGAAAATCGGTTAAAAAAAAAAATCAATCACATGTCAGAATATATAACCTGAATGGGCCTGTGAAAATTCAAATGGCATTAAGCCCACAATTTAATAACCTAATGCTTTCTTCTTCCTTTCGATGCTAAACTAATTTTTTATTGCAGGTGCCAGGTGGCGCAAATCTGCTTGGGAATCTTCTATCACCAAGAAATTGTTGAGCATTACCATTGTGTATTCCTGTTGAAAAAGTGACTAATGAGTAAAATATATACATTTTATTTTTAGTGCATATAAAAATCATATGTAAAATCCATATCATTTTTTTTATATATGGTTTTTACATGCAACAAAAAAAAAATATATTTAAAAAGAACCGAAAAATGCTAAAAGTGACAAATGTAATTTGTTATGACTAAAACTATTTTTAAATAAAATGTAATT